TTATGTAAAAAATGTTTTACTGAATTTGGTATATAAACCAACTAATAAAGGGGTTTAGTCAGAAAATTACAAGCATCGGTGGCTCCAAATACTTGAGAGATCAGACTATACAATATAGACCGGTATGAGTGAAATGTTAGGTGAACTTGTTAACCCTTTGATTCAATACGCAAATAAAAGTGAATGAGCAATAGTATGTTACAGCAATGAGTATATATCCTCACTGATTAAAAAAAATCGAAATGGAGGTGTATGAACTATTTGAAACCATAAGGGGTAAGTAAATAAGCAATTTCGGCAAATGGGCAACTACGTACCGTACTGATTTAATAACTTCGTAGTATTTGACAAAAGCTAGCTTTCCCACATGTACTTAACAGTGCGATGCCCGAGTGTGATATACAACAATAGTATTTACCTTACTTTTTTCCGATTTCTTTTTACCTTCAATTTTCCAATATATCATTAAAATCGACAACAACTGTCAAAGCAGGCACGAACACCATTCGTGCTATGCCTTGAAAGCAGCACACATTCGCTCGTTTTCGTCTCGTCAAGTATGTGCATTGGAGCGTGCTATCGAATACGATCTTCGGCCAAAAATGCCGGAGTTGCGCATCATGTTGTTTAATGTCATTGGTCTGACTGCGCCATTGTTTATGAGTAATATGGCCACGAGGGATACTAAGACAGTATTGTATAAATTTGATTGCGCTTCCTTATCCCGAGACATAGATGTCGGCACAAATGACCCATGAAATCCAAACTATTGTGTATGTATAAAAAATGCTCCTCCTCAAGATGACTCCCGTAGTATTTGTAGGCCTACCGGAAATTATGGCCTAACCCTAACCTGGTACACATACTACGTTCCGGTGTCAACAATCTTGGTTCATATACTTATACCGAAAAATGAACGTACATATTAATCGAGGTCTAAGCAAGTACTTTTGGAGATTCACAACCAGGTGGTAAATCGTGCGCAAAACCATTTTAGGTTCGGAAACCAGTGAGCGAGTGGGCAAAGAAATGCAATGACACTTACTGCGATACATTCCTGGTAAGACAACCGATAGAGAAAGATCAAAAACTTGAATCCGTCTCTCCTGTCCGTATGCTTTCCTGGCAATGAATGATTTGTTGATACATACTAAAAAGAAAAGGTTTTAAATAAAATATTGAATGTCAATGTCTAATATATAAAAAAAAGGTTCAGTGCTTTATTTTGTTTGGTGAAATAGAGGGCATGGAAGGATTTTAATGCTGCGGAAAAAATACCAAATCGCTAGGGGTCAATGGGATTTGTTAGGTCAAATATCACTTTTCTATTACGATGGTGACGTCATAAGCATATTTTGGGAGGTTAAAATAAAGCCCAACGTAGTCTCTCAGCTAATATTAGTTTTCGTGATGACTGATACGTGGCGATTTATTGGAAATTTGTTTGTAATGATAACGAGAATCGAATTTAATATTGTTGATACTCCCTTTTCAAACCACAAGTAACCATATTGCGTTGTTTGCTATCTCGATTGAGCGGAAAATATACTGATAAAGACGGGAACAAATCATCACAGCTGCCTCACTTCAGGTCAGTAACGCTGAATTTTGTTTCATTTGGATTGCTACATTGTTAGTGTAGTTGCAGCGTTAATAAAATGGCTAAATGGAGAATTTTGGCCCGCAAAATCGAGTAAAATAATTCTCAAATAACGTTATAAAACTAGTATTAAAACGGTGGATACCGTTCGTCAGCTTGCGATAACGAATTGACCCTGGTACTATTCTCTCCTTGGTTGGTTTTATTAGATAATTTATTTTAATGCGAAAAACAGCATTCTAGGACTTGATAGAGCTCAATATTCCTGATTTTAAATAATTTTACTATTTTTTTTTGTCGTTTATACACCAACTTGAAGCAGATGACAGGATTAGTGTTCAAAAGTTTTATTATAATGTTAGGGTGATGCTGTTAAATACAGACAGTCGTAGCGCTGTGAGATTAAGCGATTATTACGTTACGTTTTTTTACTTTAGGTCAAGTTTTAACGAAACATCTTCTTTGTGCATGCGATATTTCGGAACGCAGCCCTGCGAAATGCGTTACATCATCATCTTTTTTATTTGAAGTACCGGAATACTTACGGTTCGGCGTTGCATACACACTTTATTTTGAGAGTTTATTCTGAGTAGGGTGTCTACGGGGAATTCAAATATACTAAACACTGGATCAGTGTTTCTCAACCTATGAGTCGCGACCCAGTCGCCTGAAAATTTTCTCGGGTCGCTTGTTTCTTCAGCAAGTTACTAATTTTATTTTCCAGTAAATTATTTTATTTTATATCTGTTATTGAAGAGTGGCTCAGTAGTAATACGTGGGAAATATCAATTTCCCATATTATTTCATTTTATTCATTCAATTTCGTGGTTATAAAAGTACCACATGCCATTTTGTGTTTGAGCATATCCTTGAGTCACGAGATTCTACAAAATTTATTTCTAGAAAATTTGGGTCGCTTGAAAAAAATGTTGGAAACCACTGCACTAGACTATCGTCCAAAGATTGATTTTACTGACGTTTTACCAGGAAAAGGTTATATTCGAATAAATCCCAGTTGACCCAAGTCTTGAGTCCATTCGAGTCTCTGAGATAATTCTCATTTGTGCCCAGTTGAGTGAAAGTTGGAGTCATTTCGTCATTGTGACTCAAGTGACTTTCAAGTCTTCGATAAATAGTGGCTCGAGAAAGTCGATACCAACTCGATTCTAGCCGAAGACTCGAAAAATATTATCTACTAATGGCTGATTGTTGAAAGCGCATTTCTGAGATTTGGAGGAATTTGCTTTGTATTCGCTGTAGTATTTAGTGATATACTTTAGTTCCCTATATAATACCTATTTATGCACACATTGTTAATTGCTTGAACTCAACAAAAGCGGGGGTTTGACTTGCGCATAACACTCGATATGGATCCATTGATTAAACAAATATCGAAGCTTTTATGAATAGGAATAAAGAGTTCCGAAATATGCGAAATAAGGAATTTAACAAAGATGGGGTTAAGAACTATTACTCTAGTGCAGCGTTTCCGGGCCCGGGGCAACGCTCCCCAACCTTAGATTTATTCTTCCTTTTTCCAAAATCTTCCCTCACTATGCATAAAAAATCTGTTTCCTTTATTTGTATAATCTTTAAAGCAGGGGTTCCCAAACTTTATTGGCCGCGGGCCAAAACTAGAATCGAAAGGATGTTCGCGGGCCGGAAGAGTGTAGTGCCCGAAAGTGTGCAACGGTTTAGCTGGGGTTCTGTGGATTCACATTTGACATTTTTTTAAACATGTTTGTTTGATTCATAATGGCGCTTTATGTCGTATTGTTTTATAACTTGAATAGTTCGTCGCCAAAGTGGACAAATCGCTGAAGTGTGATTCTTTTCAATACAGAAATACGAACGATGCCATTTATCGGAGTAACATCTGTTTTCAGAGTCTTGTATATTATTTGACATCTCTAACCTTTCTTAAACGGCTGATAACTAAATTACTGCCCTATGTAATCCTAATACGGTACGTATAATTGAGATACCGGCATAATCGAATTGTTACCATGAACACGAGCTTAAACTGTGATAATGACATAACAATTGGCGGTTTCTAGATTGTAAAAAGGTAGAAACAAAAGCTATTTCATTGTTTCACTTAAGCTCGGCGGGCCATTTTAAATCGTTACGCGGGCCGGAGTTGGCACTCTGACTTTTGTGCGAATTCGAATAGTTTATATTGGGTACTCTCGAAGTATGCGCACCAAGATGTCGCATAACCTGAACCCTAACCTGGTACACAACCTGAGTTCAGGTTGTGCGCCATCTTGGTGCGCATACTTCGGGAGGTCTTTATATTGTGTATATAAATATGTATCACAGTAATAAAACATATTCAAACAATATCGGTAAATATACAACGGATACAAATTAATTTCGAAATAAAATTCTTCCTTAGGAGGGGTTTCTCAGTTTGCAATTTAGGTAGTTCATGCCAACCTATTACTCAAACAATATCAGTAAATATACAACGGATACAAATTAATATCGAAATAAAATTCTTTTTTAGTGGGGAATTCCTATCCGACTCGGAAAAGGATGGTGTACTGTTTGCGAGTTTAGGCAGTTTATGCCAACCTATTATGTGTTGGTGAGCGAACGCGTACTACTACTTTCAACAACACCTTTCAATCTAAAATCTGTACGCTTTAAACCTTAATTTAGGTTTTGTTTGCTCTCCCGATTTTGTGATCAGTTTTATTTATTTTGTTTTTATCAATTATTTTATCGTCTATTATGCTGATTATGGAGTCGAAAGGAACTTATTTAATCACTTACTTTTATGTTAAATTTTGTCAGTAAATGTCAAGTTAGAACGGTATACATGAATGATTTTTGAGTCATCTATGTCGCGAAACACATTTAGGATTTGCGTTAGCGAAGCAATTGCACTTATTGCATATATATTCAATTTATTGTTTTATTCATTGGTTCATTTATTTAACTGTCGTCTGTCTTGTGGAAAAATTAATTAAGCGCCAAAATCTTTCACGGAATGACCTACTTTGACGCATGGCTATAAGTTGAACACCAAGATGGCGCACAACCTGAACATAGTATTTATACCAGGTAACAGGTTGTGCGCCATCTTGGTGCACATACTTCGGGAGCACCTTCTGGGTTATTGTGGGTAACAATTAACGAAGTATTCAATCACAGTATTGAAGTTAAGTATACGGCGTGAAAATTAAGCCACAATTAATGGTTTATGGCTAGATTTGAGTAAACTTGCAACTCTTCTATAAGTACTCTTTCCACTTTTACTCGAAGGCTCGGGACCTTGCTTTGAGCAATCCTTTTTGGAGTTTAGTATTCGCAAATATAAATATAATTGTGACGTCACACAGTAATTTTGATACTAATTTTCAACTGTTAAAATATGAACTTACATTGTAAAAATTGCAGATAATATTCTGTAGTAGTACATTAGGTGTGACAGGTAGTTGTCATGACGCTGTGTGACGTCATTTAATACGTCATGCATACTTGTGGTAGAGGTGCAACTCCGGAGACTCCGGAAGAGAGACGAAACCGGATACTCCGAGTCCGGTGTGGAGAGGTTTCGGCGACCGGAAAACCGAAAGAAGAAAGAAAATCGCCGTTCAGATTTGAATCCGATATAGGAAATAATTTTGTGATAGTGGGCCAAACAATGGTACGTTTTATTATGTTTTAAAACGAGGGAATTAAAATAAAATGATTTTTTTATCGTCTATGAATTGACTATAACTCTTAAAATTGTAATTATTTCTCGGTCTTTGTTGGTGTTGTATTACGAAATCATTTTCGATAAATTAATATTTTTTATTCACGTTTTGACGCCTTCAATCGCGGTAAGGCCCGATACAAGCAGCTAAAATTTCTAATTGTCGATTTAGACCAAGGATTCCCAAGCTTTTTTCAGGACGACCCCAAAGACGACTTTCAAGTATCCACTGCGACCCCAGGTCGATATATAAATTTTTAATGCAACTTCTAAAGCTTTTTTCACTGAACTCTTAAGTTTGGTCATGTGGTGGTATTAAGTAAAATAAGCTAAAACCAAACAGTGATGTCACAATAAGCATCTTACATTTTTTATAGCATAAGCATAGAGCGATGCCTATGGGCCTGTTTTACAGTAAGCCATGGTACAAACTGCTAAATTTAACATGGTTTGTCAAATCTTAGATGAGTTGTACCTCCATCCTCTACGATATCTCAGCGACCCCACCGAACCCATGACCTGTTTGCGACCCTACCTACTTATCACTTCGACCCAATTTGGGGTCGCGACCCTTGGTTTGGGAACCCCTGATTTAGACCGTAACAGCTAACGTTACCTAGTCCGTAGATTTATTTTTCAATAAAGTCTTGAAGTCTAAAAAGCGTTTCAAGTTACGAGAAATTGCCATGTATGATAAATAACCTCCATTTTTTACAAATTTAAGTAGTTCATGACATAAATAAGTATTGACTTATATTAATAATATAAAACCAAAGAATATCATTAGTTTAAGCGAATACAAAGCAAAATTTCTTTCCACTAACTTTCCCAGGAAAGGATTCCTCTTTGGTTGGGAAAGGTGTTCAAACTTTTGAATTTTTTTGATTTTTGTACCGGTAGGCAAGTTGAGAACCTTCCACGTACGCAGTGTATTGCGCGTTGTCACAAAATAGAATTATGTTATTCAATAATCAAAGGCCACCAAACAATAGGGAAGTAGTCGATATATCGGTACGTTGGCCAATTGACCATCTGCAGTACAGGTTTCCTACTGTGCGACTTACACCGAAATCTGTTATCCGTTTCGTCTACCAGGTAAATAATTAAATATATACATACATGCATATTGATATAATGGAGCTCCTAAGAAAATATTATAGACGAGAAGTTTCGAGATAAGAATTACGTATTACCGTAATTTATTTCGTATTAATCACTGTATAAATAAAATGTACGACGTAAACGATTCCTACTTACAGGAAATTACTGTGTCATTCCCTAAATCATTCCATTCAAAAATTTATTTAAAACAAACAATTTACACGCGGATAAATTGCCAATGTTTGCGCTTCACATGGGAAAATATGGCAACAATAAATAAGCCTTATCGCTTGTAAATATTAGTAATATCTGGACACTGGTTACACATTGTCCACTTCGGGAGAAATAGATAAAAATTATGGTAAGTTGTCATTATATTTTGAGATGATATTTTTAAATATTTGAAAGTGTTGTTTGTGGTAATTTAGTAGTAATCTGTCCGTATGTAATGTAGCCTGAACATTATTACAGATTTTAGTTTTTGTTTGTCGTAGTTTTGAAAATCTATGGATATTTTTGTTCTGTATTCGCTCTGAATAGAGGCACGGACAAGCAACTAATGAGTTCATAGAAATTGGCATTGCAGGTATAACGTCTGTGTTCCAATGTAAGTTAGCAATGCAGATTACTTTCAACTTTCCGGACTCGACAGTTTATGTTTAAAAAGTCCCTCACCTGGTGAAAATACATAATGATTTTATTTCTTGTCGCTACGTTAAATCTTTCGCTGTTTTGATCGATTTCTTCATTACTGCAAGGCTTAGCTTCAATAGGCGCATTCTCTTGCCTTTCCCACATGGACAATTTTTATGTGTGGCCCAGCTAGATGTCTGAAGTTGTTACTTATCGATCTTAAGATCGGTAAGTGTCTGTCTGTCTGTTTGTTTGTCTGTTAGATGAACACGATATCTCACGAAGGCGAGGTTGAATCTGCTCCAAATTTTGCATGTGCATTCATCATATCTCGGACCAGAAGCCTATTGATTTTGGATGAAATATGTCGTATATTTAGCGAGTTTATTAATTAATTAGTGATGGGACACGCGCTGTCACTAAAGAGTCATGAATCGAAACCGCAGTTTCGATCGATAAGTCTTCGGTCTCCGACCGATATTCTCGCTTATATGGTTGTTGGTTATAAAAAATGTTGCACATCCTTGAACACTATGGACATGCGATTTGAAGACGAGATGTAAGCTGCGATGCGAACAGAGTGAGATCCTACACTCTCGCCAAATCCTAAAATATCCAATAGTCCAACTACTTCCGATGGTTTCGCGCTAAGAAATGCTTTTTTTACTGCCATCCACTAACTTACAACACAGTAACATCGGCTTTAATAAACTCACAGTCATAAAATAAGGTACCGATATTAAAAATATTACGAGCTTGGATTATTAAAGCCATTGTTTAATGTCAGGGTAACCGCGGTTTGATATTTTTATGGTCGTCTGCTTATCAAGTCAATGTTACTGTGATAGGGGGTGGTGAGTTGTACGAAAGATGTAGTTCATGGAACGCTTGTCTCCGGCAGCCGTGAGGCTATGGCAATATCATTGAATATTCTACATAGTAAATTTATTATAAATGTTTTGTTGTTTCTTATTTTAAATGCTGTGTATCAGTGAATTCTACACAAATGGCAGACCGCGGTCCGAATCCGGACCTTTCGAGTATTTAATTCGGACCGCACCTTATTCTTTATTTTAGATCATCAGCCCCACTTTTGAAGTTTGCTTTTATAAAATGACTTTTATAGTTTTGAATATATATGGAAAGAATTATAACACCATGATAAGCAATTTTGATTAGCTAATAATCATCAGCCGGTCGAGCAAGTGTGCGTTTAAGGATGCCGAAATATAAATTCTGGAAAGACCGGACCCAAATAGTTTTGAAGTTTTGTATGCGAATCTTCGGTAAAAATAGTTGAGTAGCCCTGCTATATCGTTTACTTCCTGTTACGTAGTGTGTGCGTCAATTGTTACGTAACAATAGAAACAGACACTACTAGCTGCAATACCGTGAGTTGCAGTTTATTCACTTGCTGAACTGAGTTTAGCGAACAATAGCGATTTTTTACAGGAAAATAGTGCAAAGATGAGAAAGAAGATTTGATCATTTGCCTTTATTCCTTAGTTAGGCCTACATGTTTACAAACTTTATAAGGCATGAAGTTCACATTAATTAACAATCACAAAATTGAGTTTTATATAAAAGCAGCATTTTATTGCGTGAGTGCGCCTGATAGTTTGGCGCTACACGAACAAAAATTTTGGGAACCGCTGGGCGATGGGGATTTTGCTTTATCGAAATTGTATTTGAGTGATATGTAAGAATTATTGTTATTCGTTGTTCCCTGGAGCTCTGTGAGATTCGTTTTTGTATTAAACGTTTTGTGTCAACATAATTAAAAATTAAAACGAGAATATCGGTCAGAGACCGAAGACTTATCGATCGAAAGTTAGGGGATCCCCCAAAACAGCGCTTTTACTCCATAGTGACACCTTGTGTCCCATCACTAATTAATTAATAACTCAATAGGCTTCTGGTCCGACATATGATGAATGCACATGCAAAATCTGGAGCAGATTCAATCTCGCTTTTGTGAGATATCGCGTGCATCTAACAGACAGACAAATACCTATCAACATACTTACCGATTAAAATCGATGAGTAATAACTTGTAGCGATCCACGACCTCATGTTAGCGGATCTTGTGCTTATTTTCGCGAAGTGACCATCGGTTGTTTTATTACACGCTGGTAATAATGACTTGATTTAAAACGACTGACGTGTTTAAATAGATTTAAACCCCGTTGACAACGCGCGGATGAAAGCATTTCTCAGGACAGTAAATAAAGTAGTAAATTATATTCTGTTTACTTTCCAATCTTCGCTTTATTACATGAAAACAGTGTCCAATTATTTACTCCTGTTTGTGTGTAAATTATCGAAAATGCGCAGAAATGTAACTTTTATTTTGCAGTAATTTACGATTGTCGGTTGCCATGTCACAAATAGGTGCCACTATAGCTATCGTTAGGTCTACCGCTGGATTTCTATTTATATTGGGTATCGCCCATGGATTTCTGTTTGTTTGTAAATTATTAAAAATAGGCATAAATATAACTGAATTTTTGCAGTAATTTACACTTGTCTGTTACTGTGACTATTCACGTGCCACCAGCATGCGGCTTAGCTTGAAAATAAGACATATCCGGAATTTTAAAAAAGATTTTAATATAAGCCCTCCTCAGCAGTTTTTTTTTTAATGAAAATGTGGTATTTATAAGTAAATGGATATCGGTTTTCTTATTTTCATATATTAAAATCTCGTGATTTTCTATGAAGTATTTTTTGTTTTTAATAAATAAAAATGGCATCTCTTCAAATTAGGCCCCAGTGATAGTTTTCGGAGAAAAATTGATATAAGACCCAGTTTTATTATCGGGCAAATACTATAGCTAAAGTTATGCTTACCGTTGTATTTTCCATCTTTAATGGTTATCTCCTATGTTGGTGAGTAAATTATTAAAAATAGCATAAACTGTAATTTGGAATAATTTACGATGGACATCACTTTTTCCTCTACATTTAATTTAGATAAACTTAATCTATTTAATTCAATCTATTTGCACCAACACAAATGTATATTGCAAATATTTTCATTTCAAATGAGCTCCACATACCCTGAAAAAAAGAAAGAAAATAGTCTACAGCTGTAACCCCGCCCCTTCCCATTTGAGAACGACTGATAAATTATCCTTATCTAATACTCATACTTGTCATTGTTATTCTGCCGTGGGTGACTATTCTATTCCGCCACCAAGTCTGACTTCTAGGTA